ACCCCCACCGCACGCCGCGCGGGGGGGGTGACGTGTGGGTTGAAGAAACACCAACATCTTAGAGTTGCTAAGGTTGAGAAACACTGGTCTATAGAGACAAAGTGATTTTCCCCCCTTGGAATTTTTGCAGTTTTCTTCAAAGCTTACCCAGGTTTTCTCAAAAGAAAAGAAAAGTTGCCAAGGCTGGATGACAGCATCCTTCTCCATCTCTGATTTTCTCACTGCAGGATAAATATTGGTTGTAGTTTAAATTCCTAACCTCCCACTGGTTGGGTCCACCTTCCACTTCTAGACTGCAACCCGTGGTTTGCACGAACCCTAATTTAGAATGCAAGCTCGAGTTTGAATGCTGGCGTGCGAGAGGCGTTGTAGTCGATTGGCGAGGTTGGGTTTAGTTTGTTTTGGGAGCAGAACAAATGATAATTGTGGTTTGTCACTGTATGGAACCTGACGACAAAGCCCAGCTGTGGTTTGAAGGCATCTTGGGGGTCTGCCTTGCCCGCTCATTCCAGGCCACAGTCTGTTGCCAAAGCAAAGCTGAACTTTCTCAGTTGGGCTTGAACATGGAAGATGCTGCAGCCCGGAAGCTGAAAACTTCTGGACTATCATGTCCAAAGGAAGTTCCTGTTAGATGATGATCCAACCCAACAAACTCTCGGAGTGTGAATTAAAATAAACCAGCCAACGAAACTTTACACCTCAGCCTTGACCTAGCATGCTCCTGTCCTTTATCTGCCAACTTATTGATCCTTCTTTCTGTCTCTCACCTCCAGGGTACCCCACTGAAATATGACACAAACACTGCCACAAATACCAAAAAGCACGACGTCCGGTCTATTATCGGGAGCCCGGGCAGAAATTTTCATCCCATGCTTCCGATGGAGGCTATGCAGGACCCAAGGACGCTGGAAAGAGCTTACGAGGAAAATTTGAAAAGCAGGCCCAGCCCAGTGACAAACTCTGGTGGCTCCATCACAAGGGGAGCCCCCATGATTATTCCTGAGCCAGGGAAGCCTCGCCATAGCCCTCTCACATACGAGGACCACCAGACGGCCCATGGGGCAGCTTTCGGAAGTCACTTGCATCGAGGGTCCCCCGTCTCCACAAGGGAGTCAGCCCCCAGGCAGCTTGAAGGTCAGCCGTCATGCTTGTTCCCAGGGACTTGTGTGGGATTTGTGTGGGAGCTCAGTGCTTTTTCTCTTGACACCTTTGAGATGGGTTACGTGGCTCTAGAAATCAGGGTATTTAAGCACAACTCTGTACAGGAAGAAGCTCTGAGGCACTGATGTTCTGCAGACACCATTCTTGGAGATGTTTGAGGCACAGCATGACAGTTTGTGGGAAATTATGGGCCCTGCTTCTAATCCCTGTTGGGCTGGCTTGCTTTTTCAAGGAAGGAAATGCCTACTTCATCTTTCAGGCCAGAACCAATCCAGCTTGAGAAAAATTGCTCATGTCTTCCCACCATCATGGTCTTCATATCCATTTGTGGACGTGTTCTTCTCCCTTCCAAGAGCCTCAATCCCAATGTCTTCATTTCACAGAGCAGAGGATTTGCTTGGGTGGCATTTGAGGAATGTAGACATACAGCTAATATTCTTTGACTGAGATTATAGGATAAGTTCTAGAGAAAAGGCCAGAGATGATGATGATGATGATGTTGATGATGATGATGATTCTTCCTCTTCTCCTTCTCCTTCTCTTCTCCTTCTTAAGCATTGTTTAAATTCCAGGCCAGAGAGAACATTTAGCTCTACAGTCAGAGTTTGGCGTGGGTTATGTGATGGAGAGGATGGTTTATTTCAGGTTGATGCTTAGCCTTCATTTCTCCCCACCTATAAGCAGGCCAACCTATTAATTCACTGAGTTTAGCTCTTTTCCCATCTCGGTGGCACTAGTTTCACCTGTGCATGACTGGGTCAGTAACAGGCTACATTAAATACAGTTTTGGGGATTAAAGGAATGGCTCAGTTTCCCCCAGTTCAAGAATGTCATGGGAACAGTGCTTATGGGTGGAGAAGATGTAGAAGTGTTTGAAAATCTGTCATTGCAAATGTGGCAATTGATTATTGGTATGGATGATTGCAGTCCCAGATACAACTGGTTGGGTTTTGTTGTTTTTTTTTTTAAAAAAGAAGAATACATAGTATAATTGATCAAAAAAGTTCATTTCCTCGCATACCCATTTTAGGGATGATTTTTTTTTTCTTTATTCTGTTTGCAAGAGGTTAAAAACCCTTGGGCTGATCTGCTTGCAAGCCACCCAGCCAAAGCTCTTCTCTCCTTTAACAGGGAGCATCACTGCTGGAAAACCAGTGTCTCAAGACAGGAAGGTCACCCCAACCTCCAGAGAAATCACCAGCTCCAAATCTCCTCATACCCCACTTGCAGACCACCATCACCCGATGTCTCCATATGAGCATCTGCTCCGGGGAGCAAGTGGCATGGACCTGTATAGAGGCCACATTCCGCTGACCTTTGACCCTGCTGTCATTCCCCGGGGGATTCCCTTGGAAGCAGGTATGAACCTCTGAAAATGAAAAGTCCATCAAACCATCACTGGAACCCATTGGGCGTTGTGCAGTTTAGTCCCGGTGCAGGTTGGACTGGTTTTTAAGAATACGGACCTTCGTACAGGACTCGGACTGAATCAAAATGTTAGCAGATCTTGAAGCTCGTGGAGAATTTTGCAGCAGCTTTTGAAAGTGGGTTCCTCAGTGTGGTGTGGTTGCATCAGACCTAGGGGTTGGCACTAGAAAGGGGGGGGGAAGCATTTGGAAGAGCTTAGGGGGAGCTTATGGAGAGATGTAGAAGATAAGGAGTTGAGATCTAGCAGGATTGGCTGTAAATGTTCTAATACTAGATCTGGAACATGTGGAAATGCACCCTCTCTTCTTCATCTCTGCTTGATTCAACAGCTGCCTATTACCTGCCAAGGCACCTTGCTCCTAGTCCTACGTACCCTCATCTCTACCCACCCTACCTCATCCGTGGTTATCCGGACACTGCCGCCATGGAGAACAGACAGACCATCATCAATGATTACATCACCTCCCAACAGATGCACCACAACGCCGCCACAGCTACCACCATGGCCCAGAGGGTAGATCTCCTGCGGGGCCTGTCTCCACGAGAGCCCTCCCTGGCTCTCAACTATGCAGCAGGTCTGAAATCCATGGGGTGCTAGCAGGCCCAGGTGGGAGGGGAAGCAGACTCATTTGCACTAGCACACATGAACACGGATGAGATGGTGGACCACGTGGGGTCAGAGACAAGGCAAAATGGCTTAGAAGAGTGACTTCCATAAATTGTTTTTGCTCTGGGTTGTACTGTGATGGGGACATTGGGTCATGAAAACGGAGCGCACCGCAGGCAGAGAATCTGCCGGCTGCAGAGGACAATGCTGGCTTGATGGATCTTGATGGTTCCAGCCTTTCCCTAAAACAAAAGTCTCAAGTCATCTTAAAAAGCAAACTCTTCTTTCTTTGCCAGTTGTTCATTCTGAGCAAAGCTGTTGGCTTGCTTGGCCATAAGGATTCTTCTTGAAGTGAGGCCCCATTGCACAAGTTGGCTCTTAAAGAGAAGAGTCCACATGAAGGAAACAGAAACCCAGAGAATTTAGAGCAGAACAAATCTGAGCCCCTTGGCCCACCACAAGAGGGCAGTGCCCAGTTGGTTCTGGGCTTCCCCTTCCACTCCTAACCATCTTCTGCATTTCCTTCTGCTTCTTCAAGCAGGGATAATTGACCTGTCTCAAGTGCCACACCTCCCCGTGCTCGTGCCCCCTACCCCTGGCACCTCCGCAGCCTCCATGGACCGGCTCACCTACATCCACAGCACCGCCCAGCCTTTCAGCAGCCGACATAGTAGCTCGCCACTGTCCCCAGGTGAGTCAGCAGGTAACGAAGAACCTAACATAGGTTAGATGCTTCCAAATTTCTTTCTTTGGGAACTGACTGGCAAGGAGGTCCACATCGTAGACAGGTGAAAGGTTCAAGAAAGGGAGGTGGAGAAAAACAAGAACAAGATAATTCAAGCTGGAGGGAAGAAAGCTGTTCTAGATCAGCCCAAGGAAGTAGCTAGAACTTGCTTGGAGAAGCGAAACAAGAAAGGAAACGGTGAGGTCCAAACCAACTGGGAAGTATTGATTTGCTGGTGGTTTGACCCACTTCTGTGATCCTGAGATGCACAGAGCCACCCCTGGCCTTCTTGACAGTGCCCAAGTAGAGAAAACCACAGGCCTGTGGTTTAGTTCAGCCCAGAATTAAAGATGGTTGAGTCTGACTCCCCATTCTCATGTTCAAGAACCCCATAATCCTGGAAGATAATGTTAGGAATGTGGGTGTTGCAATGTTCTTTTGTTTTGAAAATAATGTTGAAGGAAGGAAAGAAGGAAGGAAAGGCAAAGAGAAATAGGTTCCTATAGAAGAACAAGGTAAAAGGGGAGGGATGATGAAGCGGACTGCCAAAGCTTTATTTGGGTCTGAAGGCTTCAGGGTTTTTGAGAGCCCTACCAGTGTTCTCCAGCGTGGTTTTTGTCAACACCCTTTCAAGCTGCATGCTTTTTTGGAGGGTGGGATAGAACTGGTGGATGAAATAGCAGAGCAGCTGAGTCATCCTCAAGGAGGACAAATCCTGCTGCCCGAGCATGTCCAGAGTGCCTGTTCTGTAGCCGCTCATGGGAAAACAGCCTGTCCTTCACAGGTGCCCCCACACACTTACCCAAGACGGGACCCTCGGTTTCCGAACGGGAACAAGAACGCGAACGGGAGCGTGAGAAGGAACGCAAAAAATCAGTGGTGACCACCACCACCACAGTGGAGCACGCGCCCATCTGGCGGCCAGGTGAGCTGGGGCCAGATCCTCGGACAGGAAGGAGAGGGGGCCAGCAACCTGCCGTTTTATCATCTCATTTTGCCTCCCCTCCATCTTTTACCGCAGGCACCGAGCAGAGTGGCGGCCGTGCATCCGCGCTCTCTCACAAGCACTCCCCCGTCTCCCCCCGGGCACAGGAGAACATTCAGCAGCGCCCCAGCGTGCTACATAACACCAATATGATCTCCCCGGAAGGCCTCGCTTCCTCCGTGTTGCGGTATGTCAAATTCCGGGACGGGGGAAGTGAGTTCCTCTCGTGGCACGAAATGGAATGCGCGCAGCCCAGAACCCAGGGTGGTTGTCTGTTGTTTATTATTATTAATTATATTATTATTATTAATAATAATTGTTATTATATTATTATTATTATTCATTTATTAGTTTTCTAGCTTTACCTCCTGTCTTTCCTGCAAAGGTTCAAAGGGGCAAAACTCTTGTAGCGAACGTGCCTTATAGGGAAACGCTGTGTGTTTGTGTAGGGAGGGGAATTGGTTAGAAATGAAGACAATTTTCACCCATTCTCCCACTAGACCAGGGTTTCTCAACCCTGGTGCGCGCTCCTTAGAATTGATGGTGCGGTTGGAGTTCCTCTGTGCGCTGCGTCAGACTTGCCCAACACGCCCGCTTGCGCGCCGGTGGACCGCGG